CCCCAAAACCCCAAAACCCCAAAACCCCAAAACCCCAAAACCCCAAAACCCCAAAATATTTCTTAAAGATTGGATAAATTATAAATGGAAGACATGAAGCTTAGTGAAGAAGAGCAAGATTTCTACCAAAAAGTCTTTGATTACTCTGCAAAGCAAAAGAAGAGATACAAAGGAAAAAATATTCTGGTCGCCTCTGCTGAAGATGTTAAGAGAGTTTTCTCCACGAGTAACACATCTAATGATTACTTAGCACAAATCTGGAAATTTTGTAGTAATAAGAACAGGTTTCTGATTAAACAGGACTTCTTTAAGGCTCTCAAGTGCATAGCTGTGATTCAGAAAAATGATTCATTTGATGATATCAAAACCCACTTGAAGGAGGACTTCCCCTTACCTGTTTTTGATGATGAAAATATAAAAGAATTCATACCTAAAGCAAAAGAAGATAAAGAGGAAGAAAAGGAGATCCAGATCGACAATGACTCTGATAACTCTGATCTCGATGCAGACTTTGATGATCTAAAAATGAAAATAGAAGAAGAGAAGACTACTTTTCCACCGAAATCTAAAGCGAGTTCTTTCTCACAGAATAAAAATAGGAACGATGTGGAAGAAAGTAAGGTTCCGTCAGGATTACATATCTCGATACCTAAATTCGAGACTATTACGCAAGGATGGCTTGGAATGAACTCTTACACCCAGTATAAGGTAGTCACTATTGCTAATAATATCTCTCCTCTCAAGAATGATGAGTATATCGTCTGGAGAAGATTCAGCGATTTTGACTGGTTGCATAACGTAATCACCCAAACTAATTCATTAGAAGGAGTTGTGCTACCAAAATTGCCAGAAAAATCTTATCTCCAAAAGCAAGATGAAGCATTCCTTGAGACAAGAAGGACGAGGCTTGAAGGATTCCTTAAAACAATTGTAGAGCATTCTTCTCTCAAGTGCTCAGAACCAGTCCATCAATTCCTGACCGAGAGGAATGAAGAGAGGTTTACTGGTATCAAACAGAAGGATACATCTTCTTGGAAAGATAGCATCTATGATTACGCTTTGACAGTCAAGAACTTTGATATTGATAGATTTGTTAGCAACATCAGCCAGTATTTCGATTCAGAGGAGCCAGAACAGTTTCATCTAAAGAAGGAGCATCAAACTCATATAGAGCATCTCCTTGATTATGAAGTTCACCTCGAGAAGCTTGTTGATGCTATTGAGCAAAAATACAGAACGACTAATGAAATCAGTGAGAGAATGACCAAAATAGCACTTAAAATAGAAAAATATCGGCTTAGTTCAGATCAAATGCAGCTCAGAAAGATTTTTGACAAGAATACTACAGTAGATGATGATTTAATAGAAGATCTTGATGAGGTTTCACTAAACAAGATGGAATCAAAAGAAACCCAAGATGTTGGAAAAGATTATGTCAAAGTTGAAAGAGTCCCATTTCAAAATAACGTCTTCCCTGCTCTAAAAGCTGGAGCTACTGCTAATAAACCTCTCACAGAAAATTGGAAGATACTATACATAGAACTGAAATCTCAGCTCTCCAAAGTCCAGGGCTTAAGAGAGACACTGCAAAGGAGGAGTTCTGCTATCTCTTCTTACAAAACGAATATTGAAGTCTTAAGAAAATAAGAGATCTAAAGCTTCAGCCTCGTACAACTTGGAGAATCTCCAGCCAGAAATCTACGCGCTTGAAAAATCGAACATTGAGCTAGATAAAAAGATCCAGACCATGAACAAAGTGCTTGGGCAGGACCTGGCTTGCTTCACTCTGGGCGCCACTATTAAGAAGGTTTTAGAAACTTTTACTGAAGATAATAGAAAAGATGTAAGCCAAGGTGTTAAAATAGTGGCAGCCCAGGATTCTAAAATTAGTGATAAGTAATACTCAAGGCTCGGCTTTGTGGGGTTTTGGGGTTTTGGGGTTTTGGGG